TTAATTACATGATAATAAAAATAGATGTTTATAAAATTAAGCATAAACTAAATACCAGGATATTTATTTGAGAATGCAATAATTTTATACAACACAAATTAAAATAATTTAAAATTCAAAACAATTTATGATGATAATTTAAAAATCAAGCAAATATTATAATATTAAATTGGAAAAAAAAATCTATGTCCTTTACTGTAGATATTAGAGTTCACACGCAAATTCTTTTAGATGCACTGCATAACATGGTTAAGCTATATATCCCTTTCTGACATGAAGCGATAAAAACACGAAAATGTCCTCAAATTCATATCAGAAGCCAAATAATAATAATAATAAAAAAAAACAACAAATACAATGTGTTTGCGAAATATATTTTCTAAGAATTAAAGTAATCAACGTAAATTTGTGCAGAAGAAAAGTGAAGGGATAGTGCAATCTATACAAATAAATAGAATTTACAACAATTTCATACAAATTAATAGAAGATCAAACCACATATCAATAAATAGAAAATAGTATGGATAATCTGCTGGATCTTTCTTATTTTTGATAATTTGGATCCCACACGTTAACATTTAACAGCAGGAGGAACCTTCAAACGCTGTTTCAGAATCCTTCTTTGCCTCTGAATACAAACAACATGTGGCCACTTGACAAATTTAGTCAAATGCTTCTTGGGTGGAAGCGTATCATCAATTCCAAACTGATCTGTATTAAAGAATTATTTTAATTTAATAATTAAAATTATTAAAAAAGATTTCAAGATATAATTTATATTATTTTTTAATATATTCTTTTAAATAAAAATTCTTTAAATTTAAAATCTGCACAAATATACTTTATTTTATATTTATTTTTTATTAAATAAATAAGAATGATAAGATTTGAACTCGTAACCGTTTAACTATCAAGACTCTAATATTATATTGAAGAATTATCTCAATTTAATAAATTAAACTGTTAAATAAAATTTTAAAATATAATTTATATTATTCTTTAACACTTTCATTATTTTTAAAACCAGGATTGACTATTTTTTCTATAATTAATCAGCATCAATGCACCAAATCTTTAGTTGCAAGGGTACAGCACCTAAGGCCCCAAAATTGACAGGGGGCAGAATTATGATTCATCAAATCTGAGTTCTAAGAACCGGGCATACTCTATGAAAACTTGTATTATTAACTTTTGTAGCAATTTCATATATGCAATTGCATAAGATTAAAGGGATAGTTGAAACAAACATTACCCATATCTAGCTAGCTACAAAATTCAGAAAGGAAATAACAGGGACTTCTGTAGAAGAATATAGACCCGTTACACACTCAACTATAAGAGGGTTAGTCAATGAACTACTTAGATAAATATTACAGACAACACTTTCAATAATTGAAAGACTACACACACATATGTAGCACGATAATAAAAAATTTAAAATTTGTATGGCAGATTTTAAGTCAGGATATATATTTTTTATAAAATTTTAAAATAATCGAAGTTTTACTCGCTTATCTAAACCTATAAATTATATTTTTTATAAAATGTGGTTTCCTCGAATAAATTTTTTTTTTATTAAATATCTATCTTAATTAATATTGTGAGAAAGTAATTAATTATGTAAATGTTTGGATTATTGATTATATTATAATGGACCTATAAAAATATTTAAGATTGTGGTGATAATTATAAAAAAAACCATTAACACACTTCAAAACACCAGCGAAGTTGCGAGTAACTGCTTCTGATATCACGACGTTCTGGCTTAATTCTTGTCAACAACGTTATGTCGTTTATATGTTACCAAACGACTTGTCATTATGGCGTGGACAGACAGACAGACAGACTCTCCTCCTCCTCATCTCTCTCCCCTAAAACCCGCAAAAACCCAACTCGCAAATTTTCAAAATCTTTCATTCTCTAACCAAATTCAAGCTCCGCAAAATTTACAAACCTCAAAGTCAAAATACCCACAAACCAAACCATCCTTTTCAACTCCATGCCCAAATGCCCACCTTTCATCATCAACTCCATCTTCAAGGCCCTCAACAACTACTTGTATCCAATCCCAAGTAAGTTCCTTTCTCTTTCTATGAACTCTAACTTTTCAGCCCTTGCAATTCCATCAACCAAAACTATTGAAACTGAACCCCAAAACCACCCTCAACACCGTAACGCCTCTGACCGAGAAAATGGCATTGAACATGACCCCCCGATATCTGATAAGATATTCAAGTCTGGCCCCAAAATGGGTTCGTACAAGTTGGGTGATTCGACTTTTTATTCAGTCATTAACAACTACGCAAATTTGGGTGATTTTAAGTCATTGGAGAAGGTTTTGGATCGAATGAGGTGCGAAAAGAGAGTGGTTGTAGAGAAATGTTTTGTTGTTATCTTTAAGGCTTTTGGGAAAGCTCATTTACCTGAAAAAGCTGTCGACTTGTTTGATAGAATGGCTTATGAATTTGAGTGTAAAAGAACTGTAAAGTCGTTTAATTCGGTTCTTAATGTGATTATACAAGAGGGTTTGTTTTATCGTGCTTTAGAGTTTTATAATCATGTTATTGGTGCCAAAGGTGTGAATATATCCCCTAATGTGCTTACTTTTAATTTGGTTATTAAGGCTATGTGTAAGGTGGGATTGGTTGATGATGCGGTCCAAATGTTTAGAGACATGCCGGTTAGTAAATGTCAGCCTGATGTGTACACTTATTGTACTTTGATGGATGGACTTTGCAAGGCGGATAGGATTGATGAGGCAGTTTCGCTGTTGGATGAGATGCAAATTGATGGTTGTTTTCCAAGCCCTGTTACCTTCAATGTGTTAATCAATGGCTTGTGTAAGAAGGGGGATTTAGCACGGGTTGCGAAGCTTGTAGACAATATGTTTCTTAAAGGATGTGTTCCTAATGAAGTAACTTATAACACACTTATTCATGGTTTGTGTCTGAAAGGGAAGCTGGAAAAGGCAATTAGTCTTTTGGATCGGATGGTATCGAGTAAATGTGTGCCTAATGTGGTCACACATGGGACAATCATTAATGGACTTGTTAAGCAGGGAAGAGCTCTTGATGGGGCTCGTGTATTAGCTTTGATGGAGGAAAGGGGGTATCATGTAAATGAGTATGTTTACTCAGCGCTGATTAGTGGGTTGTTCAAGGAGGGGAAATCTCAAGAGGCGATGCAATTGTTCAAAGAGATGACAGTCAAAGAATGTGAGCTCAACACTATTGTATATAGTGCTGTTATTGATGGTTTATGCCGAGATGGAAAGCCAGATGAAGCACTGGAAATTCTTTCTGAGATGACTAATAACATATGCAAACCTAATGCTTACACTTATAGCTCGCTGATGAAGGGATTCTTTGAGGCAGGTAATGGCCATAAAGCCATTGAAGTGTGGAAAGACATGGCAAAGCATAATTTAACTCAGAACGAGGTTTGTTACAGTGTACTCATTCATGGGTTATGCAAGGATGGGAAAGTCAAGGAAGCTATGATGGTGTGGGCACAGATGCTGGGCAAAGGATGTAAGCCTGATGTTGTGGCTTACGGTTCAATGATTAATGGCCTTTCCAATGCTGGCTTAGTAGAAGATGCTTTGCAACTTTATAACGAGATGCTTTGTCAGGAACCTGATTCTCAACCAGATGTGGTCACATATAACATACTTTTGAATGCTTTGTGCAAGCAGAGTAGCATCTCCCGTGCTATTGATCTTTTAAATAGCATGTTGGATCGGGGATGTGATCCTGACTTGGTTACATGCATCATATTCTTGAGAACATTGAGAGAGAAGCTGGACCCACCTCAAGATGGGAGGGAGTTTCTAGATGGGCTTGTGGTTCGTCTTCTAAAGCGGCAGAGAGTTTTAGGTGCTTCAAAAATTGTAGAAGTGATGCTGCAAAAGCTTCTGCCACCTAAACCCTCTACTTGGGAAAGAGTTGTTGAAGATCTTTGTAAACATAAGAAGGTTCAGGCAGCCATTCAGAAGTGTTGGAGCATCCTATATTGCTGATGTATTGGGTATGCCTATATTTAGCATATTACTGCTATTACTTCAACATGAATTGGATATGATTTTTTTGAAGATCAACCCTTAGTTCTTCTAGTTTCTGATTGTAGTTTTACAATATATGCATCTGCATGTGTGTGTGAGTATGCGGAACACATGATCATTCATGTGCATTTGTATGCCCCAGCTAACCTATTTTCTTGTAAACAGGGTTCTTCGTGACATTGTTGTGAAGCTTATATGATCATATGTCACGTAAGCCTCTAGCTTATAGAGCATAGACTTATGTCACAATTAATATGGATTGTGTGACCAGGGAAGATGTGGTGAACGACGAATCTTGAAACAAACTGTTGGAGAAGTCCAGTACATTGTGTTTGAGGTACTAACTATCCATCCCTTCAATATGCTTTTATTCGCGTCTTTTTATTTTTCCCCCTTTTCTAGCATGTGCTTTTGGTTCTTGTCTCTACTCAAAATGTACAAGTTGGTCCATTGAGATGGAAAATGCATCCTTCAGAGAAAAGTAAAGATAATAGAGCTTGCCAATTCTTTTGAATTTCAGCTAGGGAACACCGCTGGAAGTTCCAAAAAACAGTACCTCGAATAGAGGCCAAAACACATCTTATCCTATTTTTGTTTCCCTCCAAAGAGAAAAAATCCATAAAAATTCCAGAGCAGCACTCCAACCACATCTGCTAAAGAACTTCAAACAGAACATATCTCTGCAAGGGCTTATGGTCGTTCTACTTTTCAAAACCTGGAAAAGACATTACCAATAGATCCTATACTTGATTAGAGATCACCAACAACTCCAAATAACTGAGGAAAGATGTGCTACGTATCCCAAGCATCTGGATAGTGCAAAAAGAATTGCTCTGCGCCTGTCCATTATCATTGCACATCACACATGTATTAGGAGAAATCTTGTTATATAGCCTCCTTCATGCAGATGTTGTTGGTATTAGTTCCATGGTCTGCATCGCCCAAATGAAGGCCAAGATTCCGATAATTATTTTTTTTCAGACACAAGTGGCCAAAGAAAAACAATGGCAGGCCGAGCACAAGTGATGTAAAAAAAAAAAAAATTACCAGAATATCATCAGTTCAAACTCATTTCCAAAGTCTTGAAAAAAAGAGAGGAATATTAGTTGAGGAGTGGAAGTAACAAAATGAAATCCTATAACATGAGTTGAGGAGTAGAAGCAACGAATCAAATCCTATATTTTCCTGCCATTTGGGTTTTCAGAAACATGGCAGCCCCCATATTACCTTTGCTATGCTGTAGAGAAAGAGCGACAACGATGAAATTAGAGCGGTCATAAAGACGGGGAAACACAAGGGAGAAAGAATACACCTTATTAATAGTTCGCTCTATAGATAATTGCTGTGAGGTTGCCTGTGAATGAACTTAAAAGGATTCCTGTATGGCTATTTAACCCAAAAGGTTTAAATGTAAACCTTTCAAGAGGAGGAGTGAAGGACCAAGGGGAATATGTTTTTTGTGCTTTTCCTCCAATTTTTTAAATCTAATATTAATTTATTATTTTTTCTTTTATGAACCACAAGTTTAGTATTATTTAATTATTTAATTTAATTTAAAATTTGATTTGATTTATATTGGGGCCTCATTTTTATTCTAATTTTTTTAACTACTACCAAACATTCTTAACATTTCATTTCTTAACATGTTTTACAACTTCTTCGCCTTTTAAATCTCACTCGCTTAATATTTCTCCAAATTTTTAACACCATACCAAACACAACCTTAGAGGTCAGAAATCTTTTTTTTTTTCCTGAGAGATATAGTAAACCTTCTAAATGACAAAAGGGTCTCTATTATTTTTGTTTTCTCTGGAACATGAAATGTTCAGCATAATCTTTCATCTGAATGGCTACTATCGCCAGAATCTTACAATGGCATTGATGACGACGAATGAGGGTGGTCCACCCTAAAAGAGAAAAATGCACTTTTCTGCCCATTGTTTCTGTAGCTAATAGAATATAAATATGACAGATTTCATTGCAAAGTTGTGTGTGTGTGTGTGTGTGTGTGTTTCCTTAAAAAAAGCCACCCCTCAGTTTGAATACCATTTGGTGTCTTGACAAGGGACAAATGGCCCAGGAAGCCTGGTTTTAAATCAAAAGCTCTTTGGAAGTGTATGAGACTATTTTAATTTGGAGATGGGTAACATTGGAGATAGGTTGTTGGTGTGAAGTACCGAGGGAACTGGATGAATGTTGGCAGGAATGGTTTCTCCAGAAAGGCATTTTAGACTTTATGGTTTTGAAATTAGAGTTAGGGAGACCCTTCTCCTGCATAAAGAGATCACAGTTCATGGTGGGTTGTTGGGTGGCGCTTTATGCAAGTGCAATGAAGATAGTGTTTTGACTATCCTTTTCTGTTTGCATTTTTTCCATAGGAGGTGCGAGTCTTTTGTGTTCTCAAACTTTTGAGACTGTTTGGGCAATGCCTAGCATGGTGCTAGGGTTGCTGATAAATAGCCGGAACAGAAGATTTAAGGGGGCAAATTAATCTTAAGATTTGGAAATCCAAACTTGTAGTAGAGTGGAACTATGACTTTTGAGGGCCTGAACTTCCTTTTCATAGGATTGAACCTCATTCTTGGGATTTTTTTCTCCAACATTGGAAGCTTTTCCCTGAATATCCATTTCCAGAAGTTCTGGAGCTTTCAGAAGCTATTTTTATTTCTTTCCTTGTTTTGTTCTCATCATTTTGTGGTTTTACTTGCTTTCTTTGGCTCTGTTGTCTATACTTCCGAAAGCTAGTTATTTTCTCTCACTTCTGTTTCTTTTATGCTCATTATAAGAAATATGGTTTTCAATTTTTTCTTGTGCCTTTCAATAAGTGTCTGTGGACAGGCTCGAGGGTAACGTGTGTTCCTTCTCTTCTTTCTTTCCTCTCATTGCTATCTCTCGCCTACACACTTCCCTTGAACGGGGTAGTTTTCTTTGCTTTTTTATTTCTTTCACACCCGTCATGAAAGACATAAATAAATAAATGAGACTTCTCTAGTGTTATCTTTTTACCCTAGTACCCTTATAATAATTGCATGTGGAATATGCCTCAGTGTATCTTTGCTTTCGGTTAGCATTCTCGTGTACAGTTTGGTCGCTTGGAACACTGGATAGAAAAACTTGGAAACAAAATTTTCAATATTTTGTAAGCAGCAAGGAATAATGAAATATAAGACATTACAAGACAAAAGGTACAGGGAGACTTTTAGGAGAATATGTGATTTGCAAATTGCAAGCTGTGGCGCTGCTTCCTCTCTGAAAGTTAACACATTAAAATATTGTTTGTTCTCTTCAATGGGCCCAAGATGTCCTAGTTTTAAACTGCAATTGCAGGGGTGAGACTCCGCAGGTGTTAAATAATGGACATGGCTATCGTTGTTGTGAATCATTTGTAATTCCTAATTAATTTTAGCACTGCATACTTTTTCAGTAAATAATGGTTGCTGTTATCTTTGTCATGAATCATTTGGAATTCTATATGACACATAGTAATGCATTTTTTTAATAGTTTCACCAAATATAAACAATAACAACACTTCTAGTATCTAAATGTCTTATGAACAATACATTACAACTATCAAAAGAGTGAAAAGTGTGAAACCATGAACTGATTATATTATTATTTAGTAACTAGACTGTTATCGGGCTGTTATTTTTCCATTATTTTCACAATTATAGTGTAGTTAACAGCAAGTCATGAT